ATGAGCCCCTGCGAAATTTACATTCCCGAATCGGCTTGAAAATCCCATTAATGGAAATCTGAGATTTTATTGCAGAAATTCAGAGTCAAAGTTGCCTTTAAAAAGTTACTGAAGTCTTTGGGTGTACTGATCAACCCCGTTGAGGTTGTACATTACATTTTTTGGGTCGCTCATCTGTTGTGGTCATATAACTCGCTGTTAATCAGCTCAACAAATTTCTTGCGGTGCTAGTGGCCGATTCTCGATGCACGGTTTCGCCACGCCTACCGAATAGGCGTCGCATAAGTTGCCTGTGTAGCCTGCTCAACTACCGCAGGCACCACCAGCGAGGGTGGTGACAGAAGTAAAAATGAACATGCAGACGTGCGCTCCGGGCAGTCTTGTCAGAGCGCACGGGCTGCCATCCATACCCACTGGATCTGACGCCTTTTGTTGGCCTAGACGGCGGTCTAGGCACCCACCACGAGTCTCGTGCTAGCACAGAATTGCCTCATGTGCCTTTTGTGCATTGCATTTGGACATGCCTGATATGGATTTGCAAGCACTTTTCGGGGTTGACTTTTATGTGCGAGTAGTAACTGAGGTACTTCCCAATTTTAAAGTTGTTGATTTTAGTTTACACCAGCATCAGGATAATACTTTTGGAAAATTGATCTCCGCTAGGCCGTGAGGTTTGGGTCAGCTGGAGTAGACCCGTTCACCATGTTTGAGAGCTTAATGAGAGCTCTGAAATCAGAGATAGCTAAGCCCGTCGGATCTGGATCCTTGAATCTCCTTGAAAGAGCTCAAATCTCCTCACTGGGCCTGTAAACAGGATTATGCATCTTTTTTTGGTAGGTTTTGGATTTGTGAAGCTTGGATGAGAAGCGGCTGTAGGCCGAAATAGGAACATATTGGGAAGGGGAGATCAAAATAAGTTTAGATTAAAGAAAAAGTAAAGACAGTTCAAACGCTTTATTTAGATTAGGTAAGAGACCACATTTAGATACATGATTCCTACCTTTGCAATTTAGTCCTAAGATTTCGAATTTTCCAAAATTTCTTGAGCTTACTCGGTACTTGACTCAGGTAAAAATTTTGTTTAAACACTAGAAAAACGACAATTTTTGATGCGTTTACTAGGAAACAGCAACTTTGATTGTTCCAAGCATTCGTTGTTTTAGTTTGTATAGGTAGTGGGGGTCCTGTTTGAAAGGCGCTCCTGCTACTGCGGCTGTCTGCACAGTTCCTTCCGATTGAACCCATTGGGGGTCATAATGAACGGGAAATCGAGGGAAGAAATAGATAAAATGCGGGCGTTCTTTAAAGAAACCAAGGTAAGTTTGTGGCCTCGGCGTACACTAGTTAAGTATATGTGTTGATGTTGCTCTTCTTATGGCTGTAGTACGTTACATTATGCTAACGCCATGGTTGTCACCAGGTTTTGTGTTTTAAACTTGTCCAGATAGACGGTGTAAATTAGAGGAGCATTTGTGTACGGTGATAACGGCATATTTGGACCTCAACTTGTGGTTTAATGTAACGTGGTGTAGTAAAATAGTATGTGTGGCTCAGAGTTAGTCATGGGACTTATTGTGCGTCTTGTTTATTGACTTTGCACATCATGCTTTGCGACCCTAGAATTCTGTGGTCATAGCTAATTCTGACGTTCCTAACTCCTGGAATTGAACTAGCCACTTTCCTCATAAACGTACTAAATGATTGCTGCTACCCACTGGTTTCCAAACAAATAAACCAGTCAATTTAAACCTCTTGTAAGTAAAATAGCACCCTTCTGCTGATTTATATATTTACGGCATGTTCTATGTTTTTGAATATTCTTTGTTGAAAAGACTGGCGTACCTTTACTCTTGGATGTTCTTCTCACTTATCGTTTGTTTGAATCGACGACTGCCTTAAACCTAAAATGTGTCCTTCTTTCTCTCGCCTAGAGCCCATCGAACAACTACTTGTTCATTGATGCAATCGATTTTGCTGAATGGACCGCGAAAATTGACAATATTGATCCGGAGGATCTCAAGGTTCTCTATGCTACGGCCATGTTTCTTATTGACCAAGGAAAATCTCCTGTTCAACTTGGGCATTGAAATCGAACTCTTGAAGCCGTTTGATTTCTCAATTAGGTGCTGTGATTAATGCTGTCTGTGATACTTCGCTTGACTAAGGCGGAATTATTCTTGTTTAATAAAGTGATACCTGTAAACCTTTCACAATCTTTCTAGACGACGGTAGAGCTAAGCGGTCTATTTCAAAGGCAATGTCACAGTCGGTGGCATTGTTCATTGAGATCGTTAACTAGCTTGTAACTTTCGGACAAAGTTTCTTGTTATTGACTGTCCGGTAAGCCCCTGGTACGTATCCTTGTTCCAGCATCGTCTCATTGTACACGTTTTCCCGATTTTTTGTCACCTGTCTTATTAGTAAATAAGTGATTTGTGTGGAAATCTTCTTTGTGTGTCTGGGATGCCTTAACGTCATTTCTACGCTGGGCCTTGTAATTACGTGAATTAAAAGGTGGCTAAGCAGGAATCCCACACCAACTGATTGATAGCTGTGCTTCTGGCATTCCTTTTATCGGTTTCTTGGTAGCCAGTTCTCCAATAACCACCTCTGGATCATCTGATTTTCCGCATCATCTGGATATCTATCTAATATGATTATACCTTTTTGCCTTTCATGTTTGTCGGGGAGATGTCGCGGGGTCAGCGAGAACTTTCTATCGCCCAACGCCGGCGTAGGCGTCACGTCTCTTCAACTCGCAGCAATGTGGTAAGCTAATTCCCCTTCCCTCTTTGGACTGATCTGAAATTCCCGCTTTCCTCTAATAAAAAAATTTAATGGCAGAATGACCTCGTTGGCATACCGTGGAAAGAGGAGAGGGATCTTCGAAAAGCCATCTACGACTCCCTGCGCGACCAGCATCTGACTCCCTCGCATCACTCTCTGCGTCCGTACAATCGCTGTAAGGCGACAGAGAAGAAGACGAGGAAAGCAGTGGTACCAGCGATGGCAGAGTCAGTGAAGACCGAGAAGGCCAAGGTGCGCTGTTGTATGCCTTGCTTCCCTTTATTTGCGAGTCTTTTCTGAGGCCTTTGCGCTGTGTGGTATAGAAAATGCATTTGCACATCCCTGTGATGTCGCTATCCTTGCAAGTTAAAACTGTGGCTTCCCATGATATGTATCGATAGTTTTTCATAGTTGTGCCCCCCCCCCCCCCCTTGTTCTGCTTGTCCGCTTACTTTCAAAGGTAAGCAAGAGTAGTTAACGCGCTTGCTAACGAGGCGTCATAATAGCCTCAGTCTTTCGAATAATCTCCATCTAGTTTTCCTTCCTTGGTCGAATAAACGAACGAGACGTCTCGTCTATAGCTAAAAACAATTTAGATTACCCTTTCCCCATAATAATCTTCCTTTGCTGATTTTGTGTGAGACATTTATTTTCAGTAATAAATTTGACCTTTGCTGCAACTTTTTACACAGTATCGTTTTTTTTCAACACCTCGATGAAAATAAGGTGTCCAAAAAGCTTTTACACTTTGTCAGTCCGTCCGGTTAATTTCTTTGTCCGGCTGGGTATCAAATTTCAATAAGACGGATGCATAACTCTGCGGATTTTTTGTCTTTTTCGTAGAAGATGGAGGGAGGCATCTCAACAAACCCCCACCCACGGAAGTCGCGTCCCCTGCCAGGCAGCCTGTCGCACCAATTCCTTCTCACCTCTTCCTACTCCCGCTCCTTTGCCCTCCTCTCCCTCACCTCTGCTGCCGCGCGACGCAGTCTCGCTCGTGCTGCTGCCACTGCCAAACCGCGCCCTAGGAATATCGTTTCTCGTGCAGGCTCCGCTTCTCGGTGAGTCGTTACTGTCGCTCCTACTGTCTCTGGTGCTACTCAGCTAGTCTCTATCTGCTTCAGCCTATCATCTATCTCCATAGTCACCGTCTGGCCATCTACCTGTCTCTAACTCTTCATTTGTGCCTATATCTGCTTACCACTTCGCCTTGATTTTGCCCATTGTTCACTTAGCCCATGACGAAATGGCCGAAACGTTTGGCTTAATGTCGATGGGTGATGAAATCCCTCTTTAGATTAGATCGCCGATTTCATCTTTAAGAAAGCGATTGTGTCTATTACTGCATAGCTATCCTGTAGAATTACCGGGCATGGTTGCAAATTTCTTTGCTGTGGCTCACGATAGTCCTAAATGTTGCCTGTTTAGAAATTTCATGTAATTGTTGGTTAGGAGTAAAATGTTACCTTATTGTTAGTTAATTTTCTACGACCTAAGGGATCTCAATGAGAAGAGTAATTTAACTAATGTTTTGGCTAATATTATCATTTTTTCAGAACAAAACTTGACTGGTTTCCCAATTAAAAAAGACGGGGATTCTTATATTTTATTGGCTATTCTGTCTTATACAATTATTTACCGAAATAATAGACTTTTGCACGTTTTCATCTGCCTCTCTCCGTATCCACCTATCTACCTATTGTCTTACCGATTTATCTATTTTTTTGCTTGTATGTCCACCTATTTGTACCTGCCTCTGTCTGTGTCTTCCTCTCTATCCATTCATCCTTCCATTCCATAGATCCCTCAAACGAGATAATAGTGGAAGACGTGGTTTTCGAGGCTGTGGGAACTCGGCGGTTATGAAAGCGGAGCAGAAGGAGGCGAAGGAGAAGGAGGACGTCTTTGAGGTGCTGGTGGAGGACGACGATGGTGAATTCGTTTCACAAAGTAGGGCCTTGCTCATCGTTCTTTGTTCGCTTCCTGAAATTTTGTAGATGCTTATAATGACCTCTGATTTAGTCATTGTTGGTGAGGTGCAAAAGCTCTGATCGTCAAATAGATAGGATGGGGAATTTTGTTTGAATAACTTCACTGGGTCTGCAAACTAGCTTTTTTTGGAGATCCAGTTCTATGAAGGTAACATCTGCAGCGGAACGGTTTGATATAATTGCAGCTTTTGATAATTAAAGGCCATGTCATGGCGAAATCATGCCACATTAAACTAGAGTGTTTCAGCTTTTATCCTCACACTTTAGTAATAAAATACAGGGTAATGAGTTCCGGCATTGAAGTACCGAAGCCGAAATCGTGAAGTCGAATATTCTGTGTCATTAACGGGTTGTTGAATGAAGCCATCCAGTGAGGTGGGACCTCTTCTTCATCGAATTGATTTATTCTTAGTACAACTCCTTTGTCTTAATGTCATCACTATTGGTGAGTTACTTGACTATTCAATGTAGTCATTCCCCTCCCTTACAATAAAATTTCGTAAGCATAATGCTGTCTCAGCAAATTTTTTCCCTTAGGAGCTCGCACCTATTCTCTGACAAGTTACTAGACGTGAGACTGTCATGAGTCGAGGCGGACAAGCCTCACGCTCGTGCTCAGCCTTCTTGTTGCATCTTAAACTGCTACTTTGTATTCGTAAGCGCCTTTCACGCCTCTTTCTTCATCTTAACCAATTCATTCGGCCTATAGATTGTATCTTGGAGATATGTGATATTACTTTTTATCCCTTAATCTCAATCAGTCGACTTTATTGTTCTAATGAGATAAATAATTTTCCCGTTTAAAGGTACTTTCTACGATTCCCTATTGGAACCTCTATGTGAAGTGTCTTTGGTGTTGTCTAATTCAATTGTAATATGAATTTAAGGAAGGTAAGAATTGCTTTAACTCTCAAAATAAGTGGGTATTTTTGGAGGCACACCCGAAACACGATCTGGTGAATTGATCCACAGATTGTCAGTTAGGAAAGCTACAGCGCTCCTTAGACCACGTAGGCTTTTGGCAGCAAACGAGTCCCGGAACGTGACCAATGCGTCCTCTGTGCTAGTCGTTAGCGAGACGTGTTTCAACGCTCTGCGCAGCGTAAGTGCAGCAGAGACGTCTGGCAGACGGGTGGCTAACGCTGCATCGTCTTTAGTGGGTAGGTGTGTTACGGCCGGTGGGACAGAGAGTTGAATGAAATTACAAAGTTGAAAGCTGCTACTTACGCGAGAGCGAGATGGAATGACCAAATAGCCATGGCCGTGATGCTCTATTTAGTATTGAGTGCTCCATTCTTGTAACCGGCTTCTCAATGTCTCAGTCACTGTCACAGTTGGGGAGATTGGCGCGCAGGTGATCGAAAGGTCGTGCATACTCGTGCATGTAATTGGAACAAGCATTATTCCACTACGTAACTTTGGGTGTCTCTCAAGCGTCACTCTCACGCTTTTTTGTGACTACTCGTCTGTGCCGATCGCTGTGACCCTATTTGGTAAGCCAGTATCAATCAAAAGACAAGAGGGAAACTCATGTGATGGTTCTCCATCATGGTCGTAGTTTAAATTTCAAAGCATTTTTGATCTCTTTGTCAATGTTAATTAGTTCATATGCCACGTCTTTTAGCTCCACAACAAAAGCGTTTTACCAATTTTGTACCGCCCAGTTGTCCATTTGAATTATTCTTCCCTCCTAAGTAATGTTTAAGTTAATGCACGTGTTTGTGTTTTTTCCCCTCCTCCCTTTCTAACCAGTCGTCTCCACTACGGCGGCGAACCGCTCGACTCCGCCTAAGATTGGTCAGTCAGCTGGGGCACGTACTCCGCCACCCCCATCACATCCACCGTCCACCTCTGCTCTGCCCCCCTCGCTGTGGCAGGACTCCCATGGTCTTCCTGTGGACACTCACGATTTTGTCGACTTTCTCTGCTTCTACGGTGAGTCTTCCTGTAAAATACCCAGTGTGGAGACTGTTTCTCTCGATGATTTCCAGCATAGGTAGTAACATATCCCGCTTCGGAGTAAAATTCATCCATTCACAAGGGATTCCTCGTCTCTCTGTCTTGATGGTTTGTTTGAAGACAGCCAACTGGTTAATAGATCATGAGAAAGTGTCATTAAAAGATTTCAATTTTTTTGTCTTAGTACAAGTAACTTCCATCATTTGATGTGTGTGCTATTCCCATGCTAGTCAAGCTTGAACTATCCGGGGTAGATGCCTTCTATGCCTTCCTGCGTTGTAATCAGTCAATGTGCTTTGACTTAAGCCCTCGTCAAGAAACTAGCAAAGGCGATTGAAAATTGTCAGGGGTATCCTGCTGTGCTGTCACCAAAGCAATGTCAAGTACCTTTTGAAGACTCCATGAAACATCCAATTGTGGAAGCAGCCTTATTATAACTGTACATATCGCCGTGGAAGCCAGCTTCATGAATGGCATCGGATTGCGGGAGAATGAAGTGAACGGCATTGCAATATTTAGAACTAAGGCTTTTAGTGTCCTAACTGTAGGCCAAAATGTGTAGGTGAAGCGACAATATTGATGCCTCCTCAAACATAAACAAATAATAATCAAGGTGAAATATCAGAGGGGAGATGTTGACTGTTAAACTTAGGATCACTCAAAGAAATTGAGCGTCTCATTTCTGGAGATTCGTACAGTAGGAGTAGAGGGACGTGTGACGCCTAAGTTATACCTGGTGAAGTTAAAAGGCAAGCTGATTTACCACGTTACGGTAATGCCTGAAAAGCTTCGGGTTATGAAAATGTGATTGTAAAGCTATAGCATTTGAGGTTTCCAGTATTCGTGATTACTTACTTCCACGTTTCCTGGAGAAGACTTCGTCTCT